TGTACGGAGAGCTCTCCAAAAGCTTCCGTACACAAAGCGGTGTCCGTCACGGACGCCCACTTTATTCCCATTTGACTTCGTGATCGGTGAAATCGTAAGACAAACACTGAAGGTCTCTCAAAACCCCGTGCGTTCAAATACCCTGTGACCAAAACCTTGTCGATCTAGAGTATGCAGACGACATCATTATCGTCTTCGAAATGGAGAAGGTACAGGTGTTTTTGGATGAACTGACCAAAGTCACCCCGTCCTTTGGAATGCACTTTGCACCCATAGAGTGTAAGGTCATGCTCCTGGACATTCAGCCACTGAACATGCCAATTACAATCTAGGGAGAGGCACTGGAGCGTTCTGCGTACCTTGGAAGTTGTATTAGTTCTGACTGTAAGGTAACGGATGAGATCAATGCACAAATTTGCAAGGCTCGGGGCTCGTTTAGTAATTTGAGACATCTATGGCATCAAAGCAGAATATCCCTGAATCCCAAGAGACGTGTGTTTCAGGCTGCAGTACGGGCTGTCTTGTTGTATGGCTGTGAGATTTGGCCTGTTCGAGCAGCGGAACTGAAACGTCTTCAGGTTTTTTAGCACCATTGTCTCAACCATGGCTTGTGTGGGTTGGTGTCGGTGAATTTGCAACGAAGCAATCAGAAAGCGAGTTTTCGGTTGTGCAACGGGTTGTGTCTGTCCAGCACCGGAAACTGCGCTGCTTAGGCCATGTATTACTAATGCCTAAGAGAGTTGGTCAATCCTTGACCTGGCAGAGGAGTATGAAGGATATTACGAAACATATGGGTGGAGACCGCGTGATCCTCACGGTCGCTGGTTGGAGGCGCTGCATGGTGTGGATGCCAACCGCTGTCAACCGATGATGTACATGTGCACTCCTGATACATGCTATGATGTACCTTTTGACTCCATAAGTGCCGTAAATTGGCTACAACAACTCTGGCTCTTGAGATTCGTGCATTGACTTCTGTCACACTACCGTCAGGGTAACCGTATCAGACACAATTGCTTGAGTTTGGGAGCTCCCCATGCACTCTCACGCGCACATAAGTATATGATTGTAAATAACGAATTACATTTATGACCTTTTGAGACATACCATGTTGCACAACCGTGTTTAGAAGGACTGACCGGTTGGCAGAATCCAGCATACTTTTAAAGTCAAGGTACATCAGAAGTATAGGGTACATATAGCCCACTGTTACTCTCACACTCGAAGGCACGAGAAGATGTGGTCCACGCAGCTCGTTCTTGGTTGGAGTCCTGCTTTGTATTTTGGGGTCCCGTCTCCACGCGCCTTCGTCATACGGCATGAAGTAGACTCCATTCGAACCGCGAGTCTGTTTATTCCCCCAGATTGTCACACGTGGACACCACTATCGACTGCACGCTGTTGGTATGGTTGATCTCTTTCATCCAAGTACTGGGTGAGTACTTCAACTTCATTCTAAATAGAGTGGACATGAATTCGTGAGGACCAGCAGTTCGGTGTCGCCTGAGGGAGAAAAGACATTTGCATATTTCGGAAGCCGTGGGGATGGCCAAGTTCATTATTTGGGGCTCTGCTGTGGCTCAGGAATCGGAGGAGTAGCTGGTGACCAGTTGAAGTGTTGAAAGTGTTCAACCTGACAACAGACGTTTTTTAGAAATGAGTGAACCATGTTATCTTTTTTTCGCCCACCAGAGGCCTGTCCGGGCCGATCGCGCTTACCGTTTGGAGTAATTTACACAGTTTCTTGCTTTTTATCGTTTCTTCCGCTTTCTGGACCCGCCAAGTTTCTCGATCTGCGCATTTTTCTGCTAGTCATTTGAGTTGTATTGTACTCTTGATCAAGAGGACTACATGTTCGGTCTAGCAGTTTTAAAGTGTCCTTCGAGATCTAATACTTACATTTAGTTTGCTCTGTTCGACAGCCAGCAGTATCTTGCAGGGTTCGATAAGAGTAACTGCAGGAGGCATTCGCTGTTGTTTGGGATTTAGATTCTAGTTCAAGATGACACGCAACTGATCTCGAATGAAGTTAAGTTTACTGGTAAAAGAGCACTCGAACAGTCGTGAAATTGTTTTTGAAAGTGTCAGAGCTGCAGCCTGTTGGAGCGTAGGTAGATGCAATAAACAGACAGTGATCTTCGGGGCGTTTACGGGCTGTTCTCACAGACGTTGCCAAATGAACCGCACACAAGCAATAAACGAACATTCGATTAAGCAGGAACACTTCAGCTTGATGATATAAAATAATACCAACTCCGACAGAACCAGCTGTGGTGAATTCTGCATCGCCGCAACCAGAAGTGAGAAGTAACCGATGGCTAGGTCAGCTCAACAACTGTACATGGGTCCTGAATAATCGTTTCAGAGTGTCAGCACACATCAACTGAAAGCGATTTGGGCTTATATGCAAGAGCAGTCTGTTTTCCAGCTTGTTTCAGAGGGAGAGCTTTAAAAGCTATCAGAACTGTGTCGGTGTCTTGAGGATGATTTCGAAGTATCTATGGCCTTGGTAGTCGAGTGAACGTAGATGTTGCATCTAACAGCAATGAGCGGTAAGCGGATCTGTTAGTCCTGAAGAATGGATCCACAGGGATGCTGGCCGCAACGGAGTATGAAATTGGAAAACGAATGTGATGGATAAATAAACGAGACTCCCTCGTGAATCGTTTTCAGTCCTCGTACATGAACCATACAGCACGTTAAAGGACCCGGTTGATGTGCCACGCGACAGTCGATGTTGAACGAAATTAGGTAACCGTTCGATTCTTCGTCAAGTCCGTACCTAAGAAACCTCTTATTTTTCTTTCATCAGACGATCGACCTCCTTGAGAACGCTATGCCAATCCACATCTGCTCTCTTCAATTCAGTGACGTCTTTTACTCTGTCGACCATGGAATTCTCAAAGTTAGGCTATTTTTCAAAATAGATCCTCTTACGTTCTAATGGAAAGATGGCTTCTTAAGCACTGGGAACTTCCAGATGATTGTTGTTCAAGATGCATTTCAAAAGGCAGAGTTGAGCGACGGGGTCTCCTAAGGTTCTGTCCCTGGTCCCTTGTTATAGGTTTAGGTCGACAACGTTATGCTAAGGTGAACTTCCATTGAGTCATTTTCGCTGACGATGTTGTGATATTGAGCAGCCTTTAAGCCATTGATTTGGCATACTGGGCGAAAACCGGATTCTTCCATCCTGCACTGCTGGTTGGTATAAGGGGGTCTAGCTCACTCACGATATCTCGGAGCGTACCCCTTAGCCAACGCCATCTTTACGTGGAGGTCGGGCCTGAGGATTGCAGTGGCTCACATGGTTCAACCCTGCCAGTAGGGCCCAGTAGGAACATGAACTAGTAGACCACATACTATTAGTAAACGTAATATGAAGTAGTCTTGGGGTAAAGTTGTACTGTCGTTCTGCAGGAGTGTGAAGGCCGTACGGTGCTTCCTCCTGGCGGCCAGCGTGTTTCTACTTAAGGAAACAACGGTGCCAGCAGCCTGTGTGGTAAGAAAGATTAAAAGGGCTCACCGTTGGACTACATGCCATTCAATACGGAGGGGAAATGGAAAACCCAAGAAATCGTAGCATTATTCTTGGGTAGTATTTCTCTTGAACAGCTTATAGTTTCTGCACATAACCGGAAGGTCTGCCATTTCAAACTTGCATGTAAATCAATGCATTTTTCGGAATCGGTTTGGTAGCTGTCACATCATCTGCTTCTACCAGATTGTTCCTTTCGCCCTGAGCTTGTCACTGTTTTATCGCCACACATATGAGTGCTTAATAGGAAATTTACTAATCGAAATACACAACAGAATTATTCACTTGTCACTCCCTGTTGACCCTCTCTAACTAGCAGTTGAAAATCTCCAGCAACACAGACTCCTTCAATCAATTAGAAAATGTTAATGACCGATTGGGTCGTCATCGTTTCAGATGGGTTTGGTTAATAAATTTACCGATTGTTTATCAAGCCTCCTCGAAACATAGGCTCCTGTTTTCACGTCTCTTGAGCTTCAGTTAGTTTTACTTGTGTATTGCCGTCAGTGATGATAGTGGTTGCTTCTTAACGGAAATGCGTTCGAATAGTGTATTTGCAAGCTGTTTCATAGTACGAGCGATAGGATTTTGTTTCGAGTCCTGAAATTCTGCAGAAACCTAAGGAGACCAAACCTGGAGGGATTATTCTTGGGTAGTTTTTCTATGAGGAGGCAACCTTAGTTTGAACCTGTTTTGCGGTGGAAACACAAATTTCCCTAATCTAGTTGCTTTTGACACCCTCGAGCATTGATGGCTGTTAGTGGTATTTTGACTCGGTGAATACAGTCTGCATGTTAACACACTAAATGCAGTCCTTGATAATGTGAATCCCACCCCGCTCGTGGTTTATATAATTGGAACCAACGGTTGACTATAAAGTATACCGCTTGCCCGTGAATTACATCAATCCCTGTTTCGCCCTGAATGCTGTAAGTCATCCTGACGGATCGGTTTTCAATGTGTCGATTCTCTATGATTGTAATACCTTCATTAGTGACCACCAATGAGTTTGAACCTCACCGCAGTACTGACAGCATGATTCGTTTTTTCCCATCTAGTCGTTCTCCACAAATTCCTTTTGTGAAACGGCTGTGCTTCTCGTGTGATCCACTACTACGATTCACTGCTTAAACACAAGCACTGGAACTCAGCTGTATCTTGATGATACCACCTCTGTTGATGACGAAACGTTTGGAAAAAACATTGACAAGCTCAGGGAGTAACTCAGCCATCATATTGACCAATGTTGACCATCATTAAATTGATTGGGAGGATTTGTCGTTTACAAGACAGTCGCTTCAGAGTAGAGCGTTCTTTTTCTGGTTCAACGTAATTGATGTTCGGCTCGGGTGATCAGGTCTCCCACGATTAGCAACTCCTTTTGAATTTCAGTTATTGTGTGCGTCCACTCACATATTTTTCTGCTTTGCAGTAGTGTAACTTGATGTTTCAATGCCTTTTTTCCAGATGATATACTGAGATGCGATATCTGCTAAGGAGATGTTTCGTGTTTTCGAGAATAATAATTCCACTGAGCGTCGCTCAGTTCACAACGGTGTCCTCATAACTCATGACGATCTATCTGACAGTTGTGGGTTCATCACGTGGTTTCATTTTATTGACCTTTACATTTAGATAGTCTTTCACGTAAAGTACCATCGTTGTATGTGAAACCACTTGCGCCGGATAAGCCAATCGATCTTCCTCAGTCAGGAGTGTCACATGATGATCGCCGTCTTCCACTGGTATGTACGGGTTCTTCCATGCTGTTTCCATTTTCCTCAGAATCGCCCAGTTGTTTCTGTCTGATTCTTTTTCCTTTGTATCAGTTTATTAGAATTTTTTTGAGCACTTATCCTCCACGTTACTTCTATTGACTTTATGAAGTTTGTTGTCGTGGTCCACGGATAAGTAACGTAGCACTCACTGTGGGATTTGAATTGTGTTCTGCCAACATACTTATCTTTGCGCACAAGACCATGCTCAGTTGTCGTAAAAATACTTGATACGTTAACTTTTGACTGCTCTTATATGGATGATGAGTTGCTATGCATTCGGCCCGTCTGTTTTTGTTAGAGACATAGTCAGATTCCGAATACCGAGCCTCACAATTGCTTTCTTATTGGGAACCCATCAGATGGGAGCAGAGAATTTGGACGCTAAACGCTGGTTAGGAGTTTAGGGTCCTCACCACCCGTCAGCTGACCAGTTTCCACAGTTTCGGGTTTCAGTTAGACGTGTGCGAAAAAAACCGGCTACACTCAAGCTCATGGCTGCTCCAGAACCGGTAGCTATTCATATAAAACCTGACGGCCCACTAGTGACTAGGCGATCGTCTGATCGAGTAAGCAGTCTGTTCAGAACCAGTTCTACCATGTTTTCTCCAATGTCTTAGCCACCCATCAACCCAGCGTCGCCATATCCGATAGGTTAGTTAACTCAATCAAAAGGTTTGAAACAGCAGCATTGGAAAGTCTACTATGGGGATGCGAACTGTTCATAAAGCCGGACTGGGTTCATGGTCGCATGACCAGAGTACTAAACCTTTTGCTGGGTGCACAATCTTGCAAGTATAAGCCGTGTGATAGATGACGTTCACTTAGCCATAGAGGATAAACCACAATTAACTAACTACTTGGTGATTTTATCTGACACACAGCTTGATGAGCCGTTCGGATGGTACTACCGTCCGCTCTCGAGGAAGAACAACAGCCAATCTAGGTAGAAGTTAAGTTGAGTGAGTGAATGGCAGCTAAACCGACTAAATGGTTTCTTCCGATTTTTATAAGTTCTGAGGTACGTGTGCCACAGGCTTGTTTGTTTCACCTTGTTTTAGCTTCACGAATTCGCTCGATCACTGGGTTGCCTAAATACCAATATATGCACATAACTGTTTGACTTGAGTCTCTTTCCCGAAAACCATTCATGACTTGTTTCTCACGCGTATGCAGCTGCGAAACGACTTGTAAGAATGACGTTTACTAACCGTTCTGTAGTATCTTTCCGATTTTGATTCAGTTATGTTCAAGCTACGTGACGGTGCCATGGAACCCTAGGTTACGCGTAACAGTTGTCGCCTACCCTCTGAATGGCGCCTTGTTTATGCACACAACGGTCATTCTTACTCCAGGGGCGCATTTCATTCCATTCCACACTTTTCAGCACATTGTGCTTTGTGTTCATTGATCCAGATATGGGACTAGCTTGCTTGCTTGCTATTTTCTATGACCGCATTCCACCAGATCCTGTCATCGCTCTTGGCATCGAATATTCACAAGGGGTTCACTGGATCCGTGGAATTTGTGTAGCCGCGCTTGTGACTTCGATTTTTGCGACCACTTGTACTGTGTCCACAGCTGTGGACGCACCTCAATTTCAAAGTGGCATTATGTAGTCTTCCTTATTGGTGCCCTATTGGTATCATCTGCTTGTTTCCGTGTAGGTTTGGCACCTATCGCACATGTAGTTTAGATGATATCGGAGTGAGGCGAATGTAGTCTAGGAACAACCTCTTGTATTTCCAAAATGACCAGAATGTGTTCCGTAGTTATCTGAAACGAATCCAAATAGTCGCAAGTTTGTTGTTTCATTGTCTGAGGCAGCACTAACGGAGTGTCTTCTCATCCCAGCATCTTAGTTTTCTTCGTGGGCGATTTATCTATCATCCTACGGATACCGCTGGAAAGATTATCCAGCTGTTTCCGTCCTCTAGCCCTTTTCAATGAGAGGCAGCAATTGCAGTCCGGTAGGAAAAGACGCCCTGTTTTTTCAAAGTTGAAATTGCCGTTTGGGTGATAGCTGAAACACAAATGTACAATATCGTTCTGGTCACTAACGGGTCTTCATCGTACGTTCCACACTTCTATCTGGTTTTGCACACTTTATTCTTCGCCCTTCTTGAGATTTGCACATTCAAAGGTTTGAATCAGTCTACCAGCTTGATGCAAAACAGTTCCAGAAAAGAGACTGTCAACTATCGGCTCGTGTCATCATCCATGATTGCTGAGGAAAGGCCTGCGATTCGTTCAAGTTTCTGCAAAACAGACCTCAAAAGGATGGTAATGGTTCTATTGTTCGACCACATTTAACGGTCGACAAAGACATACGGATATGAGCTGGGTTACCACACTGACTAATAGGCTGATATAAGTCAGCCAGTTTCCCTAGTTAGGTCGGGATATTTTCCCATAAATCTATTGGGGTCGGGAGGTGTTTCCTCATCGTAATCGAATTCTGAAGGACCGAAGGTGTTCTCTTAGTAAGTGGCATTGTTCACTTGGGGATTTCTTACGAGGAACGAGTGCTTTATTATGGAGGCGCTCTCATGTATCCCCTCATCCTGTTTTCCAAAATCAGTCAACACTAACTGTTTTTGATGTGGTCCCGGATGGTAAATCATCGACAGGCGGTTAGAAGATGCCCTTGTCACAGGATAGCCTTCACCTGTTTGATAGTTGGCTGGTAGTTCTAGGCCAGTGATCTACATTGAGATATTATCTTGAGAGTGAAGCCACCATCTGAGTAACCGTTAAGTATTTATGTATCTGTGAAGGGATATTTTAGTCGTACCACAAAAATGCTTAATCTTGAGGGGGTGCACTGTATCTCAAGTAACTGCGTTACCTTGCTTGCTGTTCATCATGATTCTCAGGTAAATATTTATTTGTTTTTTATCGAAGCCGGAGAAGAATGCCAAAATATCTCTTGGGTCGTTGCCTCCAGCCGTTCCAACACGAGCACAAACTCCAGTCAGTTTGGAAAAGAGGTCTGGCCGAACATTCACTACTGAGTTTGACTCCCACCGGAATGGGACTCTGTGTCCTTCTCTTGCGAAAATCAACAGGAGTTCGTTTCAGCGAAACACATCTGCCCGTCGGTCTTTGAGTGGCATGGCTTCGTCAGCCCCATGGTTAGACTCAAACGAATTGTCAGAAATCTCTCCCACTCATCTCTCACCGCATCACCCGTCAGTTGAATTACAGTCGTGTACATTAAACAGTGGATCACAATCGAACTTGGATTTCTCCCCTCTGCTTCAGATACGAGTCGTTCAGCTTCCAAGTTTGGATGATCTTGGATTCGCACTTGACTCATATTCCGATCCGAATTCAGGGTGAGTTCCTGTCCGCTACAGCAGTAAACCCAATTAACTTATGGGTTAATGACTCGGTTTGTTCAGCAACTCTTCCTGTTGCATCTGACTCATTGTTATAGAAGCTTAGATGTCTCCAGTATTTTCCATCATTACAAAAGGAAAACTTTAAAAATGTTCATTTCCACCCGGGGAATCTCGGACGGTACTTACAACCGACATCCTTCAGGTTAGATCAGAGGAGGTTGTATTCCTCTAATAAGAGGGATGGTGACGCCCATTTTTGGGACGTATTTGTAGGGTAATATTGACCCAAGTTCTGCGGAGTTGATTTCCTTTACGACTCAGCTTCCTTGACTGAGCTGTATGTGGTTGATCTTGGGATCTTGTCCACGTACACACGTCCACTTACGCGTTTGGTCATTAACCTGGTAATACTACTTACCGAATAGGACTCATCCAACTTTACTGAACTTGAAGTACTGTGGGTTCATTCATATATCTCCGTACAAAGAGAATTAGGGAACAATTCGTCTACGCCTAACCCGAAATAATGTGTCTTATCGCGTCAACAAACACATCCATATGCACTATCATTTTGTATATTTATTCACTTTCCAGAAAGGCCCTTCCTGGCTAGACCACCCTTTGTCACGAGTAGATGCTATCCCAGGGTAGCTTCTGTGGTGTGTGACTGTTTCTCAGTGTGTGGAAACGATGTTGTATTTCGAAATTTTCTGTCTGATAAAGATACTGCGATGATGACGTCATGGTGAACTCCGGCTCCTTTAAATTATCTGCTTCCTTTCACCACAACACAGTCATTTTGTGGGGCTTCGACTATGCGACCGCTTCCGAAGTCGCCAATTCTACTTCGAATCTCGGGAGAACTGTCCTTTTCGGGTGGGCGATATTATTGTCACTATCAATCAGCACAAACTGGCCAACATGCATGAATCTCAGTAAGCACGTTTGATCTGGTTTCTGTATGGCTTGTGTATGTACCTATGTACACATTCACCGCGACTGATTCTCGTGGTTATTCCTTTATGGTTCATGGACATCTCCAGGCTTTCTTGTTCTGTGTAAGGTTTTCTAACAATTAGCGAATCTATGTTAAGTATATCTGTCTACTCTGTGGATCATGATCCAGGTTGATTGTCTTTTCATTTCGGCTAGAACTAGTCGAAAGTAACATCTATCTTTGCGCCAGTCCATGTCGGTGAGCTCCTATTTTGCACACAATACTGCAGGTCTCTGTTGAAGAAACACCAGTTAACAGTACCTCTGTACCACCACAGTTTGCGAATCGATGGACGACGATGAGCACGGCCCACCTGCAATGTCGTTGCGGTGTTCCACCTTAATGCACACGCTGCTTCAACTTAGCGCGGGCATTTTCACGAAGGTTGTAGACTTTGGATGCAAATGGCAACACATATCTACGTTGTCATCAGTCTTAACGGCAGTGAATGCTGACCCCTGACCCTTCAACTGATGTGCTTTGAAGCGACCTGTTATAGATAACTAAACTCCGTCGAAAGGCATGAATGGAAGTGGTATGATTGTACCAGATTGGGGAATCATGCGAGAATACGTAAATTGCCCTCGAAACAGCGAAGATACATCGGGTCGTCAACTGGTGATTTATTGAAAAAAATGCGTTTTTGACATGTTCGCTTTGTTCAGATGTGGCCAGCTTCCCAGGAAGTAGCCAAAGTACGCGCGTTTTGTGGAATTCTGAATACCGGCTTCAGACGAACTAGTGACCGGGTCTTCCACAACTACTCTGGAAGAGACGCCAGTTGAACCTTACTCTATGCCATCATAGATTCGAGTGCTACTGGCGATTTGGGCTCGGTTTGGCGTGCTTTTAGAACGCAGGTCGCGACTAAGCGCTCTTGTCCATTTCGCTGAGACAGCCTTAAATGGGCATCTACCTGGGGACAGATATTCACTGTTGCTCGTGTATGTGGTTTCATATTACCATTTTCAACCTCCATTTGATTTGGTTGCATGCTCTTGCTGAATACCGTCACATGCAGATCAGCGTCCGAGCACACTTCTCGCTCGTCCTGAGGAATGTCCCACCTATAGGCAGACACTAACTTCTTGTTTGTATTTTGCCAAGCGAAAAAATCGTAATCGTTCAGCTGTAGTCCCCTTTCGGTGCCTAGCTACCGTGCCACACGAGGAAGGCACGAGGGATGAGATACTGCCAGGTCGCCCAAGCCTAGACAGGGGAGGTCGAGAGGCGAAGGTCGGGTTCAAACCGCGGACTTTCCGGTCAGTAAATTCGCGCTCTAACTACTTGGGCCATCTCGTCCCATCTTGCCAAGCAAAATCAAATAGGTAATATCCACACCTTTTGTTCTATTGAACTGAGTGGAAGGGAGATTGTTCTGACGCACTTTAAATGCGACACATTTGAGAGCTGGTTTCTGTTACATGTGCAACAGCTGGTGTTTATGATAGGCATCCGGCAACTACGGCCGTCTGCTAGTGCATGATCTGGAGGAATTCCACACTATGGTACCATGAATTTGTGAAAAGATTGCTTCTGACATCGATACACACCATTGCGTGTCTGAATTGTGCAATAGACACATTAGTAGGACATGTCGTTTACCTTCTTCTAAACTTAGTAGTCTGTATGTGTACTATTACTGCGTTCCCATTGGCGAAGGCAACTAAGGTCGTAATTCTGGATAGTAAACGAATTCTGGATCAAAATGGCACAGCACAAGCCGACCTGCTACGTTTTGTGGACAACGTATATGGTGAGCTGTTTGTTACTGCTCAGTGCGACTCATCAGCTCAGTGGGGTCGTTGATCTCTTAGTGAACTATGACTGTCTTGGATTGGCCCATTCACAAGTCAGGTCTTCAGTCTTATGAGTATAATCACCGTACATTATTCTGCCACAGTGGAAAATAGAGCAGGTTAGAAAACCATGGGGAAAGCATGTCAACGAGGTATACCGCTCTAACAAAGCACAAACAGTCGTGTACATATCCTGATAAGTGAGCTACACAACCCTCAGAAAAACAGAACCGCATAGTTTTATCGCATCCACTTTCATATTTTTTACTTTTATAGGTTTTCAACTATCTGTTGTAGAGTGACCTCAAACGCTTTTGCGTGATCGCTTTTCTATCATTGGCTTACTTGTGATCAGACTTGTTCTGGCAAATTTAAACAAATTACAAACATACAACTTCTTGTTGTATGCATACGAGCTAGCACCCTATATATTTACAGTATAAAAAGCTACAATAATAACTAGTCTGTTTTGGGATGAAAAGACACAATACGCACACTACGACAACCATCCATTCATAAGATTTTTTCAGGTTTTTCTTCATTCCATGAAAGCGAGAACGTGATAGGATAATCCGTTCGACTGCTGATGTCTAGTTCCTGCTACCATTTATCTATCACAGTCAATGTATTCAGCATACTGGTGATACCAACTTGCTTGCTTTAGAGTGTGGACCGTAATAACCGTTAATTTTCTCGGAGTGTTTGGTTGAATTATACTTTGAGGTGAATGAGACTGCCCATGTTGTCCAACGCACGTATATCCATGGTAAGTCGCTGACTACAGTAGATGGGAAAGAAAGGATGATAAATGAGGTAGCAGGGAGCGAAGTGTCGGAAATAAGGTATTTTCACCAACTCATTCGACTCTTTGAAATTAATGAAAAGAACCGATGAAACTATTCTTCGGAGGGGGGGGGTCAGTACAATGACTGTTCCCGTGCCAAGCTTTGTGTTGCAAAACCTGACGGGTTGGTTGCAGAGGCTAGAGCTAAACTATACGTGCTTTTCGGCCGTCGGCCTGGAGAGCCAAGGGACTGTCCTTGCTAGTTCTATTTATTCCACGCAGTTGTACCCAGTCCTCATTGGCGAACACCTATTTCTGCTATGGCTCACCAGTCCAGTCTATAATTGGCTTCCAAAAATCGATCGTTCAGCTGTAGCAGCTTTTCGGTGCCTAACTGCCATGCCACCCGAAGGAAGCACGAGGGCTGGGATACTGCCAGGTTACCCAAGCCTAGACAGGAGAAGTCGAGTGGCGGAAGTCGGGTTCGAACCGCGGACCTTCCGGTCAGTAAATTCGCGCTCTAACCACTTGGGCCATCTCGCCCCAACTTTGAGGTAAATAGCTACTGTAAGTACTGTTCCATCGACTACTATTGGTTGACGTTTGGATGTGCTGGAAGGTGAGTGCCATTGACTAGGGTAAGACTTAGTACAAGAACGGTCGTCGTGACTTTACTCGAACGCAAGCCGTCCTATATCGGTCCGATAACAATGGAGCGGTGTTAACGTTTGGAAAGCTGTCACATGGATTGCCTCTCGTAGTTCACTGAATCTTACAAGTGTGTAAGTCGTCACACTGTGCTGCGTCGCCATCTGTTTGTGGCTCTTCAAGACAGTTGTCTGTTTATTGGATTGCGTGCTATCGTTTGGTTGTCTCATGTCACCGAAATTCTCTTGTTCCAAGTGCCAACCACTTGGATCACTCAGTCTACCTGCGTCATAATTTAGACATGCGACGGGGCCTGTACATTATGTTGCTTACGAATATATGAGCAAGCAATGGATATCCCCTCTCGATTCACTCATTCGTTCTAGTTTCGTTTCCACAACTAAAGTTACACCCCTCCCCCATTATATACTACAAATGACCCTTCTAGCTAGATGTGCGTTTCAGTGAACCGCCATGGGTCGTGGAATAAACACTATGTCTACTTATGGTATCCTAATCCGAAGTAGGTTTACGACCACCCACCGTGTTTTTTCCGCTAAGTCTGACTTTTGGTGTGTTTGTACAGTGTAAAACGTGACCCCTAGGTACGAACGCGAAAATAGAGTTGTTGTGTCAGTTTTTGAAGTTTCACTCTTGATACGAGTGAATGAAAACTCTAACCGGACGTTTTGTAATACGTATAGTACGCGTTAATTCGTCGAAAGCTCTCCTGATGTGTACACTGTCCTTTTATTTTAGCTGAGACGGTTTTCTACAATAGAGACAATACGACCGATTCTTTGCCCTAGATTTTATTTGGTATTTCGAATCGCTGTGACGCTATTCTACAGTATGTCAGCCTACATTCCTTGTTCCTGTCAACACGATAAGATTCAGATGATTACCTGTAGGTTCTACCTGTACTCGGAGTTGTTTCCCCTTCTGTTGTGCACTTTGTACGTTCAGCTTTCGAATTCCGTTATTTCGATCCTTACCCAACCGTTTCTCAAACCGTTTGTCACAGCTTCGGTCCGAACATATTGACATCTTTCTTGTGTGCCTGACACGCGGGTTCATGGGCTTTACTTGCTACACCAACTTCACATAAATCAGACTGGCATTTCATCCTCTTGTTGCTATTCTCTCCTTTCTGGCACGAGGGTGGTTTTGTGCTTTGAATCGAAGGTTTGTTTGAGTAACAGCAATGTTTTTACCACAATCAATCGTCGCTCGAACATCACGCATTCGCATTCATGCATCTCACGTGACCTGTGCGCGTGGGTCGCAGAACTGCGTGGTTGGTGTTTTGTGTAAATCATGGATAGTATGTATCACGCCCTTAACGAGGTGGTCTTGCACTCTTCAAACGCTAGGCAAACGAAGTTAGATGTATGTCAGCAGCTTGCTTACAATTTTGATGGCTATCTTATTCACGCTTCCCTTCAGTCCTTGGTACTCTTCTTATGTGTACTTCATTACGTCTTCTTACATAAACAGACAGAACGCTGACTTTTGGTTCAGTGTAAATGAAACTATCCGGTTGTGTAGCTGGTGAGTGGCGCCATGCTAATCAGACTGATCTGTGTTTACACGTATAGAATCTTGACCTTATAGATTTATTGGCATCTGCGAATGGAGTATATCTATCGATGATGGTGTTGCTGGTGCGACCTTCAACGCTGCCACTCTGGTCATATTTGAAGCAAATAAATAGTTAAATAAGGGCTTGTTGACAGTTGATAAGATTGAGCAAATTTAGAATGTCAAAAATATCAATGTTAGATTATGTGTCAGCACTTCGGTCTTACGATTGCACGCAGAGGAGTTACCCTAAAGCGAGTGCACTTGCAGAGTCGGCGGGTTTAAAAGGATGTTGTAAATGACTCAGGAGGAAGGAAAATCAATCGATACCGGTGGGAAGGGAATAAGAATGCTCAGTACAATAATGTGAAATGATAAAAGCAGAAACCTCTGAAACAACATGAGTTACCGTAACACTTTTAATGAATCAACATCAAACTATAGACTCGAAATAAGAAGCAAGGATAGATTATGTCAATGTAGTTGCCGCTGTAGCTATGAATAAAAACCACCGTTGGGTATGCGGTTTGACAAAGTTTCTTGGTATTCGACGGTCTTACGCAGCATGATCCAATTCCATTTTGACACCAGTTCCTGGGTTAGATTCTTTGGTTGCATCTTTGTTCCAATCGTGTATCTAGATTAACACAATGGTAAATAATGGTTTGCGACTAAGGTAACTCTGTAGGTGAGTTTTTGTTAGCACGCATTTTCTTCGAGTTACAGGTCGACTAGTCAGCGCTATTTGTTCAAACCGTTCCGCGTAGGCGGCTTTTAATGAGGGTTGGCGTTGTACCATAAGCTAGTGACTAGTTTCTTCAGTTAAGACTATGTTGTTGGGATCAGATTATTCACGAATGGACCACAGTGGATTAAAATGCGTTTAGGAAACTGAACATCCCGTTCTGTTTTGCCAGATACTGGGGCCTAAACTTCATATAAAAATACTGTCCAGTCACAAAAGTACCAGCTGGCTGGTGGTCAAAATCACATCTACGGACACAAGCCTATCGCCGTCTCTACGGACTGATCAGCAATCTGAAGACCATATCCCTTATCTTTGGCTCATCTGCTTAATTGTCTTCTTAATACAGTGACTGGCTCATCACCTCATCCGTGCAAACTGGTTTCATAAGCAAGCGATGGATATTGGACAATGAAATTCCCCGGTTTTTACAGCAGCTGGTACTATGCTGTTGAGGGGACACGAGAAAATGGTTGATCTGCAAGAAGCATGTTTTCTTGCGTTTCAGTGGTGATTTGCGTTCTCCTTTCCCGTTGAGAAAAGGATGCCCGTCTCATCATTGAGTAGCTTTTAATCTTTGTTTGGAAGTCGTCTTTGTAGGTATTTCCAATTTATCTCAATATGGGGGCAAGATGGCTCAATGGTTAGACCGGAGGGTCCTGGTTAGACCCCAACGTTGGTATCTCGACTTCTTCTGTCTAGGCTTGGGCAACTTGGCAGTGCTCCAGCCCTGGCGCTTTTTTCGGGTAAAATGGCAGCTAGGTACCGAAAGTGTGTTACAGCTGAACGAGTATACTAATTTTTATTATCCCACTTTGGAACGTCCTGGGGAATTGAAAACGGCCCTTATACAGGGTTGTCCTTATGTTGGAGGAATTAGTAATAATATCATCGTATTATCAGCAAGCAATAAGTAGACATCTTTAGTATGTGTCAATTGAACATTAAGACATCGCTTGCACTACACACTCAACGTCACAAACGGGAGGCTCATTCGAGACTCACGATATGACGTTCTCAGTTTGCAGCTGAGTGTTGAACGCTGCTTCGCTTTTCGGCTTACTCTGATAGGTCTTTGCAACCTCTTCTACAGGATAGAGTTCTCTCTAAATATCTGCATCTTGAATGAATTACTACTCACTGGTTTCTTCCAGCAGTAAAATATCGGTATCATTCCTGGAGTTAGTAGTGATGGTTCCTCCGCAACCCCAACTCAGCGTTAAACTAACAATTAAGTGTCAAAGTGACGGTTAGACCATAATCTTCAATGCTCGGCCTTGTCCTAACTATTATCCTCATTACCAATGGACATAAATACGGCAATTTGAGCTAACGGCTAATCGTTAAACTGCTTATAAGCGAATAACTAAACATAACTCACACTCAAGAATGCGCATTCTTGGAAGAAATCCCTTTTGAATTTAGGTATAGTTTTTCTGGTCTGCTCGCTTTCGCCCCTCGGATAGGTTATCTTCTTCTGAAGTAATCGAACATGCACTGTCTATTACGGCTTAATATGTATTAGAGGAAATTCGCACAGACAAAGTTCACTTGATAACCTATAAAACGATGTGTCACTCCGCCGGGTTTCATCTTTGTACGGATTCCAGCTAGTTGCGGCTGGGGAATTACCTTCACTTTCCGAATACCCATGAATCTGCATGTCTGGCACTATCAATCTGGCTGATTACGGGATTTATTTGGAGGAAGCGGTTGATTTGCATCAGCATACACACATTCACCTCCTCGGAAAAGTGCGTTTTTCCCTAGTAGTGTTTCGTTTGTGTCCTCAACGGAATATTAGCTGTCGCGCAGGTGAAACTCTTCTCAGTGGCGAACCGAATCAATTTCATAAGTCTGCCACCCATTGCAACTGGTGCTTATCACCTGCGTATTGTCTACCGCACACAAAGATTGGCCAACGCGGCAGAATATCCTTGCGTTGTATTCATCCATCCTACAGCAGATCCAAGTTATGGGTAACCAACTTGGCCGGGAACCATCACCCCAATTACAACTGCATAACAGAAACCTGAACTTTTGCATTCAGCGCAGTTTTGTAGACCTGTCAAAATCGACTTAAACTGTATGCATAAAAACCTCCGAGGCAGATGCTTGAACTGCCTTATGCCGATCGTCTGATTTCGATCGAATGTTAGGTTTCTAGTCATCACGTTTAGTGACATCCATGTTTGGGCGAGGACCAATAGCCTTTAGTAGTGTGGCTGAGGAAATTTATACCGAAGATTTTTGGTACAACTATGTTGGACGTTTCGCTGTGTTGTCTTGGACATTCTGTAAGGTGATCTGGCTTACCAGGAAACCGATTGCTTGTACCAACTGAGAGTCGAATTGGTTGACGTGAAATTTTCGTAAACGTGGTGTGTTATTCCTTCTGTTCTTGTTTTTGCTATTCCATTCAGAGCCATTCGTTATGTATACAACGCATTTCGGGATGCGCGACAATATACTGTCGAGTTTGGCGTGTTCCGTCCACCAAACCATTTCGAAGATTCTCCTGATCCTGCGGTTAGAAAAATCTATGAACCCTCTACCCTCCCAGTCCGTTCTTCACACTCAAAACGGTCGTCTGCCGTGTTCCTTCCATCCGCATCCGTCGCGGAGTCTGCCATGGAGCGACACCAACCACGTCGCAAACCGTCTTCCTCCATACCTACCCATTCTCCGTACATTCTCGACGTACATGGTGGTCGTACTGAATGTAAGTACTATCGGTGACTAGTGGGTTTTGTCACATTCCTAATTGTCAGCTGGTGTTCTATCTCGAAGTGCGTTCCCAGTCACATGCAATATAGGTAGACCACTCTGAACGGAACGATAAATATTCTTTTGCTTCAGCATGGACAGAGAGGAGCGAGACCAATTAAGGCTCGATGCGATCAGTTAATGTATCCCGAAAGTGTGAAATCTGCAAGGAAGAACTCAACGAAGAAAATTTGAACAGTTGAATTCACGTAAATATTCAGTCAGTTTACTCCGTCCGATATGTGGGTTTGTTCCGATGGTGTCCTATTTCCCCTTTCAAAGGTTTCACTTCCCGGTATAAAGTTATGGGATTTATCTCAAGCAAAGACTCTCAAAAACTTTCGTGAGCTAGAGATTCAACTGGGATTAAGTTGAGTCTCCCAAATGAGCGTGCAAATGAGTGTGTTTAGCAAATAGCTTGTCGCTAAGCCCCATTGGCTCGATCTCGCAATTGCTGTGTAAATAGTAACATGCAGTTCCTGCGGCAGCTACGATCTTTTTGTCTGCTTAACGGCGGATAAAGCGCTCTGATGGCGCTCGTGTTTAAGATCACATGTGACATTTTTATGGTACTATTTAAGACGTCACTTAGGCCCTATGTTTTCAAACGTTTGCAGTTTGTTTCCCAATGATGTGTAATGAAGATCCCCCCTGAGAGCGCGATGATCGTTGGCATACGATACTAGGCCAGGGTCTGTCCCGAGTCCATATGCCCAGGACAGTCTCATATACTTTCCCGACTTGTTCTTTTTGAGAATGTTGTGTGCATGGTCACCACTCCTATTTGTGCACATAAGCCGAGTATTCCAACCAACTGAATGACTACACATATTCAACAGAACGACCACCATCTTCACTCTTTTTGGGTGTTCTGTTTTGCAACTGCTTACAGATGCCAGCAGAAACGGCATATCCGTTTGTAGTCTTTGTTTTCTCAGCTGGCGTGTACCACTGTGTAAACAGCACACATGCGTACACGGACATCGATTGCACTCACACAAAACAGTTGCATAAGTTTGGACGGTACATGCACGTGCGAAATATGTGTTCTGTGTTCTCTTACATGAACAACCTCCGCACGCGTCGCTTTTACCGCTGTCTGTAACCTCAAGATACGATTAACATGCATCCACCACTCAGGTACACCGCCGCTGTCGTGGTCTGAGTGTAGTCGTGTGAATGTTCTGTTCTTTATACCGATGGATCAGTTTACGGGATGTGTCTGTGGAGTGTGAGGCGGTGCGTGTGTGAGTGCGCACAATGCTGCGACGCATATCTACCTGGAACATCTGATTCTGTTGAGCACAGAACCACATAATCCACGGTCCGTAGTTGTCTGTTTCTCCGTCCAGTTAGGTTTGGCTGAGAGCGTTTGGAAAAGTGGGCATAGTCGTCCATCGGAGACTCGATTTCGGTCTAACTGATGCTCATGGTGGTGTATGCGTAGCAGCAGCGATGTATGCCAGAGAGCATCAGTGTTGAGCACTGGTGTTTTGCTTTCGATGGTGATGGTAATGATATGAATAGCAGTAGTGTTCCTCCTTACCTTGCCGTACGTGGTCCAGGATTCAGCTATTTGTGCAATATTTTCAGTAGTTGGCAACAGTTCTGTGTTCATACTGCGCATACACAGTGAATTGCATCAAAAGTTAACTACCCATGACACTGGGAACGGTAACTCTTTGACGAAACAATGTTTCCAAGTTAGGGACGAACTTCGCTCCGGACGCCTAGCTCTCCATGAGATTACAGATGGAGCAAACGGTAGATTGTTCAGTCTGCGCATCGTGTTTTTTTTTCCACAGGAAATGATGGTTTGTTATCTGAATTGTACAGTTATCGCCCTCTGGAGTGATTATTCATCAGAAGACACCACTTTATTTGTCCACTCCCGGAGAAGATAAATATTGATAATTTGCTCTCTGAGGAATGGCATTGGTGTCATATTCATAAATTTTTCATAAGGACTCGTCTGCTACAATGCAAACAATCTGGATGTTCAGCGTCGACGGCTGTTCCGAGAAGGTTATATGTGAGCCTGGTCTCGAACTTCTTGACTATCACCATAACTCTTCTGTTTAGGTTATCATTTTCATTCTTCGCCTCAAATATTAGTTTTCCTCTTCCATGAACGTGGATATATGAAGCATGAAGCGGGACTAGCAGTTTCTCGTTATTTCTCTCCAACTATCATTTTTGCCGAAGCTTTTCACAATGAGCAATCATGCACCGCTGGTAGAGGTGGGGGAGAGGAGGGACCATCAAAACAAGACGATAACGTATCTAGTTTAGGCTGTTCTTGTTACTAGTATTAGACCACCAATCGTACACACTCGGATATAATTACTGGGCAACGTCATACCTTCATATCCGCTTCAGTGAGCCACAAGTCTACGGAGTCCGTCGGCCAATCTTCCAATTCCCAACCAAGGACGCTATCCATAAGTAGTCCGGTGCTTCCTAAACCAGAGATCAATTTCACTAAAGACAATGACTTCACAGTGCACCGGCAATTGTCTCGTTCCATAGCCGATCAGGACCAAGTCTCTGGCATACCAAATCTCCAAGGCGCAACATCTGCGGAAACTGGTACTGCGGACTCTTTTGAGTCACATCAGAGGACTTTCAGTGGGGTAGGTTTCTAGCTCACCGTTGATCTCCAACCCAACTTATTCATGCTGTGGACTTTTGTCTGCCCTGATTACTATCTTGTGTCAATTCACTCCTGCTCTGTTGTCTTGTATCTGAAGCTAGACATCCCGATTCGGTATACGAATTATTCGTTTGCGTGTTTCTCTGTTATCAAGACTGGCTGTTCTCACAGAAATCAAAGAACCGCGCTGGACTCGCAGATTGCACTCATAGACCGCCATTACCTTCAGTGGGGTGTGGTAGTAGTATTAACCTCGCTTTCAGGCTATATGGCGAGGATTGGGCGTAGTTAGATGAGCATGTAAGACTGTTAGCTTCAGTTTACGCTGCATGAACAGAATAAAGTAGAATAAAGTGGAAAACTATGGGTGCTTCAGATTTATACAGTCCCCTTCATCAAGTCCATTCTCCCGGATCTCTTTCCAATCCCCATTTACTTCTCCTAATCGATTCATTGTGTCGTACTACATTATACGCTTGACCTGCAACCGAGCGGCGACTCATACTTTAAATATCAAAATAAGCTTGGGCAGATGCGACTGTATGTGTGGATTTCTGTTCAGTACGCATCGATTCCCCTCTGCCTTACACAATTCATTTAAAAGCGGTCGCTGGAACCTTAATACAAGGCGGAGTCTGACCAAATGACTTAAGTCCGACATATATATATATAT